CAACCGATGTACAAAAGGCAACTGAACGCTTGTGTTGTTTGACTAATTTTGCAGGCCTGGGCTGGCGGTCTGGGCATCCATTGGGAGGACGATGGTATGCAGTGTAGCAGATATGAAGATTTCCTTCTGTGTCGTTTTTGAAATCCAATATTGTTCTGTTTTGTTCTGATTGTTTTTTGCTTTATTCAAAGTTCTGTTTTGATTGGTTTTATTCTATTTTGTTTGGTTTGATTTTGCTACATCTGATGGAATGGACAACTGTTGTGAAGACAACAAGAGATACTATGGTGGCCATTGTTTCCTAGTATTCTGCTTTGAAGTTCTGCACCAATTTCACTGCTTTGTTTTGATTAGGTTTATTGTTTTGATGTTTTGTTTTGTTGGGTTTTATTATCTTTAAAATTTAAAAAAAAGCTGAGGTCAGGTGGAGCCCTTACTCTCCTGAGGAGAGAAAGAACTGCGCGACCACTGTAGCACGTTTGTTTATACTCTCGAAATCATGGTATTAATTTCAACCCCCGGGCCTAGCAACTTGTTTGCTTGGCTGGCCTGGGCCCCTTGCCTTCTTGGAGCTGAACAGCTTATTTATGTGACTTGTTTTGTGCTGTGTTTTCCGGGCTGGCCTTGCTTTAGCCCCTCCTGTGTGATCAATCTCCAGCTTCAATGGCTCCCCACAGTTAGAGGCCAGCATGGGTTACATAGTGAGCACAAGGCCAGCCTGAACTACATAGGGAGACCTTATTTTTTAAAAAAAATACTGTACATTCAATATATTTAATTTCACAGTTATGAGGTTCTTTGTAGTTTTTCAGAACAAGATATAGTCTCTATTCTTGAAGATTTATAATCTAGCCAAGGAGAAAACATATATGCATATAAAACAATCCCCAAATAAATGAAACAATCAGTGAAGCATATCTTCCTACTTTTCTATCCTTTCATGATCTGAACCTACTCTACTTTTTTAGCCCTGCCTAGAGATAGTTGTTCTGTAGTTAGACAGATTTACTAAGTTTCTACCACATTGATTATAAATAAGGGGATTTTTCTTTCCAAAAGCCAAAAATTGTATCTAAAGACCAAAGGCTGCTTTCCAAGCACTAAAGTGTAAACAGAGTGTCAGTCAACAATCAGGTTCATTGCATCCAGAGACAGCCTGGGGTAGATATAGCGGGTACTCTCCGGGGATCTTCCACGGGGAGTCTCAGGTGAACACCTAAACTGTGCTGTCCCCATAACAGCCAAGAGCCTTGTGAGAGCCTCAGACAAAACATAAGGAAGTTCTCAGGGGTGGGGGCAGGCCCTTGTTTCAATTCCTTGTACCACAAAGCAACAACAAGTTTAGAACTAGTGTAAGAGAGATAATACAGCCTCAGTTTCCTTATTAACAACTACACCACAGTTACGGCTAGATAGCTTGGTATTTCTCAGCTCGGCAACTAGATCTACCAAGATTCTGACCCAACTCTTTGATCTACAGGTTACTTGGGCTTTCTGCACGTCAAGGTTCTTTCTGTTCTATTAAAAGGGGTTAATAATGTGGTGGTTTTGAGGATTGAATGAAATACTGCACAAGGTTTGAGCAATAATCACATGCAATAGGTACACATAATATGCTGATTTATACACTTCAGTCTTGCCACTCCTGCAGGCTTTGTGCTTTGCTTGCCTTGTTTTTAGCTTTTCTCTCCCTTTGTTGGCTGCATACATTGGCGGCATATTTATTTGGCTGAATATTTCATTAAACATTTTTGGGGTAACTATCCTACTGTAGAAGTATCAATAATTTTAGACAAAATTCACCCAGAAGCACTGCATCGAGACTCTCGTTTTTAACAGTAGACTGTATACTAATTAGGAGTTTAAAAATGTATACACCCATATGTGGAGAACATTAGATCACAAAAGGAGATACTAAACTCTTGTTTTGTCATGTGCTGTTTTTCTTCTTGAACGTAACAGAATGTCAGCTCCATCAGACAATAAATCTAGTGATTCTGCTCACTGTGACAACTCCAGCACCTGGGTTGTATGGCTCGTAGCAGACTCTGAAAAGACAAGCAGCTATGCTCAAGAAACAGGGAGAGGGGTGACTTCCGTGAATATCCGGAACACTCTTCCAAAGGAGGGTGCAGCAGTTTCCCCAGGCAGCTCTGTCTTGGAAATCTGTTTCCCGGGTGTCTCTCTTCTCAAATATATGTATTTAAAAAACTTTAAAAGCTGCTTTTCAAAGAGGCACCAAGAATATTGTAGTCTGCATTAAAGAACTCAATTGATGCGAAGCAACAGCTTTTAAGAGTTTGACAGTTTTGCCTCCATTTTTCAATAAAAGAAAGCAAGCCCTGCGGACAAAGCTGAAGTGGTCATGTTTCTCCCCTCTGTCCATTTTCTCTCTTCCGTTCTACACAGGCAGCAGCTGTCATGAATCCGGTTGTGTGCTCTTGCAGTGCACATCTGTAATACATGAAGCACGGGCCCAGCATAGGTTCCTTGGGATTATATTTATAAATATGGTATCAGTGTGAATATATATAGTTCAACTTGCTTTTTTCCATTCTGCATTGGTATTGAATTCTGTCTGCAGTCACTTATCCTGTGACAAGTCCTAAGCTAGTCTACTCAGTTGGCTATCTTTTTTTTCTCCAATTTTGTTACAGTGCTTATTCTGTCATCGGAATATCAGCTTTTATTTTACTCCTCCTGTAATCTTGGGTATTTGGGTTGTTTTCTGTATTTTCCTTGTGTAAATGATGTAACAATAGTCAATGTAGGGGCTGGGGATTTAGCTCAGCGGCATAAGTGCCTGCTTTGTCGTGAGTTCGATCCCCGGTACCGATAAAAAGGAAAAAGACAAAAAAAAAAAAAAAAAGTCAATGTAACTGCAAAATTTTTATTATTTTAGTGACAGAGTTCAAAGTTCATTTAACTTTTGTCTCTGAGACAAAATACCTGAGAAAATCAATGTGAAAGGAGGGAAGATTTATTTTGGCTCTAGGCTTCAGTTCATGAAAACAACCTCTGTTGTTTTGGGGCTGCAGAAGTCAGAACCCCATGGTTGGAGCGCAGGGCTGCCAGGAAGCTAAAAGAGAAGAAGCCGGGGGCCAGGGTCCCCACGTCCTCTTCAGGGGGCACCCATTGAGCTGACTTCCTCCCACCAGGCCACACTCTCTCAAAACTCCACCTCTCCCGACGGGGCCACAGGCTGGGAACCATGCCTTTTATACATGGGCTGTTCGGGATGTTGAAGTCCAACCCTAGCCCCATCGAATCCCTTTTTCTTTGCAGTATTCATTTGACCACTTTTTTAAACGTATGTTTATACGCTTGAAGGCAGACAGAACAGGACCTTTCATTTACACCGAGAAGGTCTGGCAGCTGCCCCCGACTTAGGGGCTGCAGTGAAGAAAGCAGAGTTGGTGTGAAGTACCCAGGTGGAGGCGCCTGGGGCTCAGGGCTGCACCGCCGTGCAGCGCACGTAGGATGCCAATAAACAATGCAGGGAACTTCAGACTGCGCGACCACGGTTTGGTTACCACAGTTCATCGACAGAGAAATCATGATAAGTCTGGGGTTCCCTGGAAAAGCCAAGGCTGGACGGGGTAGGGCGAGGGCAGAGGCCTGGACAGAGACTGAGCACTCCTGAGGCAGCTCAGATCGTCCTCACCGCTGGGGTGCAGCTCCGCCGCGGACTGGCTGGAAGGGCGGGCGATGCCCGGCACGATGAGCCTCGGGTTCAATCCCAGCACCAAAGGAAAACAGAAAACAAAAAACCCAGCCGGGGCAAAGTGACCTTCATTACTGTTTCCCGTGATTAAAATTTAGACCGTCGCAGGTTTATTCACTGAAGAGGAAATGCATTATCCTGTCACCCGCCACGGAGCGTGGGCGGTCGGCGGGGGGAGGCTCTAGGAGCCGAGCCTGATGCGGATTGGGACCCGCTGTTGTCCCGCTGAGGTGCGCGCACGCGCCGCCTGGGGCGAGGGGAGCAGCGCTGTCCGGGCCTACGCACTGCAGGACGCTTCTCATAAACCAGAACCTCCAGGGGGACCTGCGGCGATCTCCGTATCCATGGGGCTCCGGGCCGGGCCTTTGTGCGGAGCTACATCCCCTGCCGTGTTTGAGACAGTCTTGGACACACGTCCCAGGCTGGGTCTGAATACGCGATGGTCCTGCCTCGGCCTCCAGGGGGCCGGGATGCTAGGCCCGAGCCGTCCCGGGACGACCTTTACAGGCTCGCGTTCGGGACCGGAGTCCACGTCCGGCGCGGCCTGCGCCCACAGCCGCCTCGTGGGGCCCTAGCCTCCCGGCCCCGACCCGCGGCGCCCACTCCACGGCGGGGCGGCGCCACGCGCGGGCAGGTGGCGCGGCGGGCAGGAAGCGCGGCGGGGCGGGCGCGGCGCGGCGGCTGGAATGCGGCGGGCGTGACGCGCGGTCACGTGACGCCCGTGGAATGCCAACAATGTAGCGAATGTCCCACTTGGGCCGCGCCGGCAGCCGCGCGAGCACCGGGAAGATGGAGCCGTCGCCGCGCGCGCGTCCCGCGGCGCCCCCGAGCCCGCGCAGCCCGCAGCAGCTCCTGCCATCGGCGCCCCGCCCGGCGCGCGAGGCCGCGGAGCGGCGGGCCCGGGCGCCCCCGCGGGAGTAGAGCGGCCGGAGGTGAGCGGCCGGCGGAAGTCTGCGGCCCGGCCGGGCCGGGCCGGGCTCGGACTCTGGCTCGGGCGGGGCAGGGGCGGGCGTGGTGCTCGGCCCGGCCGGGCCGCACAGCTCTGCGCCCTGCTCGTCGTCGGTCCTCGTCCGTGCTCGTCGTCGTCCGGCCCGGGGCCCGGCCGGCCCGGCGGGGCTCGGCGGGCGTGGCGCGCTTTGTTGCCGGCGGGGCGGAGCGGGGCGCGGCGGGACCGGACGGGACGGGGCTGCGCGGAGCCCGCTGGGCGCCGGCGCGGCGGGACGCGGCCCGGGCGCTGCAGCTGGAACGCGCCGTCGGCGGCTCCCTGCTCGCAGGCTTCCCGGCGCTGCACGGGCCGGGCCGGGCCGGGCCGGGCCGGGCCGGGCCTTCCTCGGCGTCCTCCGCGGGGCGACCAGGGCCCCTCCGCCGCGCCGGTGCCGGCTGGGACGCGACCCGGGGAGGCTCGGGGCTTGGCGGGCGCCTCGGCCAAAGCGCTGCCCCGGAGACACCGCTGCCGGACTCCGGGCGGAGTGTGTGCGTTTCCGCTCGGCCCCGCCGCCCCGCGTCCTGGGCTGAAAAGTCCGCGTAGCGTGGACGCTGTAGCTGGCCGGGACGGGTTTGCCAGGCGGAAAAAGAAGACTGCACAGCCCAGCGGCTTTCTTCACAAAGTGCTCTGGAAGTATGTACGTTTTTAAAGGCAGCTTTGCCCCATCTATAAAGAAATTTGAGTGTGCCGAAATGTAAATCACCAGCTACGAGTGAGCACACAAGCTTGTGCCCCGCGCCGGCCCTTTGAAGCCGAGGGGCCTCGCCCGGCTCACGGAGGCCAATGCGTGGCTGCACGCGAGGAAACTCGCACCAGGTAGACCTGGCTCCGTCGTTTCCTATCTCGAGTGGCGGTCACCGCGTTTGAGTGCTAAATCGAACGACTGAGCTTTTCTTTAGCGACTGTTTCAATACAGTAGTAAGAAAAAACTTTCCTAAATAAGAATGCAGGAAGAAAGGCCGTTTAAAATAACTATAATTAACAAAACATAATATATTTCAAACTCGTAAAATTTTCTGATTATCCGTGTAGCGAGAACGTTGTTGAAGGAATCCACCGATGTCCTTTGTACATTGTTGAACGTGTAATGCACTTCAGAATGTCAAGCAATTTAAAAGGATATCTGAATAGAGGCTGTCACGCAGGATTATGAAGGCAAAGTACTGAAATCACAGGACCATAGAACCGTCAGGAATTCTTTTGATCTCTGTAGATCCAGTTTGAAAGTTTGATCAATGTAAACTGCAGCAGAGTTTCTTCCCTCAGCAAATCACAGCGTTGGTGGGAGGGACTTTCCTTTAGTGGGAGGGTAATGCTTTTACAGTAAGATGCTGTGTTGTCTGTAGCCAGCTCAGGGCTCCGCGAGGAAGTTGATAAATTCAACCTAAAAGTACAGAAAAGATTCCAAAGCTTGGGGGGTGAAATGGAAGAGAATGGTGTACCGTGCTGCTGTTGAATTTTTGTTAGTCCATGTTTGCAGTTCAGGATGGTTGCATTCACTGCAGGGAATCGGTGTGTGTACAGGACACGTCTCAGTTCTTTACTCCTTCACTCCCCTGGTGGTGTTTTGTGTTGGAAAAAAAGCAGACCAAGTTAACTTTTGAAAACTGCTTTTATATTTATGGAAGGGTTAGAATAACAGGAAAACTTTTTAAGCAGTGTTTTTTTACAGAGTGTTTAAGGTAGTAGCTGGCTTGAGGAAATACAGAAGGACTCAAGCTGTGCTGATTAGGGGTAAAATATCCTGCTCCTCAAATGCAGTCGATCAGGCCTGATCGAAGCTCTGTCTCTGAATCTCTGCTGCTGTTGAAGAGCCCGTTCTGTGCTTTCTTTCACAGCTGGAGTCTCCAGCTGCGAATCACTGGGCGGCAGGTGGTGCCCCTGCGCGATGGGCTCCTGGGCTGGAAGGCAGTGCTGCCTGGCTACTGAAGTCCCTCGCTGGCTGTCAGCGACCCTCGCAGTGCTCCTGTCATTTATTTGTTGTTTGAAATTCTGATAAAGTGATGTTGGCCATAAAGATAATTGGTGGTGATGTTAAAATCAGAATGTAAATTCGGCATTGCTTAATGTTTGCTATTCACTCTGCAAAGACTTGGTATTGGTTACTGTCTAGACCATGTCAACTTAGTTGTGATGAGTGGTTTTGTTTTGTTTTGTTTTGGGTACTGGAGATCAAACTCACAACCTCACACTTGCCTGGCAGGTGCTTATTGCCCCTGAGCTGAATCCCTGGCCCTGAGTGTATTTTTAAAAAGTTAATTAGCAAATTCTTTTAGTTTGTGTGCCAACATTAGGATTTTTTTTTCTGGAGGAAGGAAAAAATTTTCTATTTTGTAGTTAGTATTGGTTTGTATTTTTTTTTTTTTTTTTTTTTTTTTGTCTTTTTTGGACAGAGTTTGCAGTTCAGGCTGGCCTTGAGCTCACTTTGTAGCCTAGGCTGGTCTCGAACTCTCAAGGATCCTCCTGCCTCAGCCTCCCACATGCTGGAATTACAGGCATGAGCCACCATGCCTGGCTGTGGTTTGTATTTGTTAACACAGATATAACACAGATCTTGTGGACCCTGAGTTGGATGGTAGGGATTTTAAAGAGCACAAGCTGGATTTTGAATGGAGCCAGGTCTGTGTTTGGAATACTCAGCCTCCACCTTCAGGCAGTTATCTGAGGCTGAGTGCAAAGGGCGGAGCTGTCAATTACTGATTAACTCAGTCTTAGCTCGGAGTGCGCTCCTGGTTTTTACTAATGTCCCCAGATGGCACTTGTCCCTCCCCAGCGTCATTCACCTGTTCTTCTGTCTTGTCTGTGTCTGACCCTTCTCAAAGGAAGTTCCAGACTCCAAGAATAGGTTCACTCTGCCTCCATGGAGTCAGCCCTACAGCCTTTCCAGTTTGGGTGGAACCTTGCATTTTCTAGAAGGCTTTCTTCAAATAATCTCAGTGCCTCTCTGAAGAACTATGCTTCTGGGTATAAACAAGCATGTGCCCATTTTTCTGTCTTGGGATTTAAAAAAGATTTCTCTTTTTTAAAAATTAAGTTTAGGGGCTGGGGATTTAGCTCAGCGGCATAAGCACCTGCCTTGCAAGCAGGCGGTCGTGAGTTCGATCTCCGGTACCAATAAAAATGAAAAAGACAAAAATAAATAAATAAATAAAAATAAAAATTAAGTTTATGGGTACATTTTAGATCTACATAACAATCACATTCATCAGAGGATTTGTACTTGGACGTGATATATTTTGATTCTTTTTTCCCCTTCCTCTACTCTCCTTTCAGCCCCTCTTCCCCTCCCTATTTATAAAAGTTTAGGATCTATTTTTCCCGTTTTTCACATTTTTTTCTTTTCCCCTCCTCTTTTCTCCCTCCCTGGATACCCTTCCCATTTGAACATTTTCTTCCTAATTCACAATATGTACTACATGTGTTGATCCTTGTTTATACTTTTGGTTTCTCACACCAGAGAAACAGTCCCATATTTACGTTTCCGATTTATTTCACCTAAAAGTGTGATCTTAAGGTCCATCCATTTACCTAAGAAATGTCTCAAGTATATCCTATTTTATTGCTAAGTAGTACTTCATGGTATTAAAAAATTACATCTTTATCCATTCATCAGATGATGGGCATTTGGACTGTTTCCAAGATTTAGCTATTACAAGCTGTGTCACTATAAACGTAGGTAGGTCACAGTATTTCTGAGCTCTGTCCATAACAGTAATTCTTAGATGGCACAGATGCTTAGACTCCCTAGCTGGGGTGCATCCAGAACTTCGAGAGGTGGGTGCCAAGGATGCAGGGACATGTCAAGGACTGAGAATCCCCTGTTGGTGTGGCGGGGACGTTGGTGCTGTTCAGTTGCCTGCTGTCAGGACTGCTGCAAAGAACTAATAGTAAATTCATCTACAACCTGGTCATCCTGTTGAGATCTTGAGTACAAATTTCTGTGGGTCTGATAATTTTTACCACTGCAGATTACGTGAAGTGTTTAGTAGGGAAGATGAGGGACGTGGCCAGTGTGGTGGCAGTCTTTTCACACCTGGACTGTGAGCTGGCTTAGAGGAGAGGTTCTGTTTTACCAGGGTGCTAGCTGTAAGGCCCAGGGCAGTGCCGAGCCCATGGCTGCCCTGTAACGCTACCATGGATTGGACAGTGGAGTTGCTCAGTCTGCACAGGATTTCCCTAAGTTTCCAGAGAATGCAGCCACTGCTCTCCCCAGAGACCCTCAGTCTGCAGGGAGCCCTGGCCTGTGGCTTCCTGGCCTGGATGGTGCTGGAGTGGAAACATCCAAGTACGTTGTGCTTTATGATCCTGACATTTAGCATCTGGCTTGAGGCCTGACCCATCTGCCTGATTTAGTGTAAGCGTTGGTAGTTAATTATAGTAGGGATATGATTTAAATAATAACTAGAGTTTTGGGTCCAAGAAACACTGTTTTTTAAAATGCCAGCATATGTCATTAGCACAGGCCCAGGAGACATGGGTTTGGTTGGTTTGGTTCCACGGTTGGTGCTTGTTGTGTGTTTGGCAGCCTGTGTGGGTTTATGAAGCTCTAGGAGAAATGAGAATGATCGTGTTTTTCCAGGCCTGGCTTGAGATTTGGAATTGGATTTAATAGGACCAAATGAAGGGCTGCATAAAGTGTTGGCCTCACACTGTTTACACAAGCCACCTAAGGGACTAGATAGTGAACTCCAGGTTCAAGAAGAAAGTGTTTGTTTTGTGGGTTGTTACAGTTTTTTAAATTTCAGTGTCTTACAGTTTCTTTTAAAGTATGTTTCAGGTGATGCCAGAGACATTTCCAAACTTAGATTTACTTTGCTTCAAAGCCCCGTTTTTTAAAGTTCACACCTCTGAGGGGCATAGTTATGAAACTCTTGTGAGGGGAAGTCTGATGTGGTCTTGCCTCCAGCCGTGGTCTCTGACCTGTGAGTGTTCCACCTGTCTTCAAATGGAGCTTAAATGACAAGCTCCTGGCTGAGAAAATACTTTCACTCTCTGTGAACCTGAAGGGGAGTTTCGCTCTTTGCAGAGTGGCTGGTAAGCACACATTTGGTGGGTAGTGCTCAACCTGCAGGTACTGTGTTACAGATTCTCTTAACAAGTCCGGGACTAAGTGCTTCCACCAGATGGAGATAGAAAGGAGGTCAGAGCAGGGGTGGTGTTCTCTCCACAGGTGTGCTGAAAACGACCAAGGGGTATGTTTACAGGGCATCAGAGTTGTCCTCTCAACCTTTCTGCAGGTTTGAAAGTTCTTGTAAGAGAATGTCATGGGGAGAAAGGACCAAACAAAACAGCCAACTGCTGTGTTGGGCCTGGCCCTGTGGTACCTCTAGCTCTATGTAAACACAGGGTCTGGCGCACCAGTGCTGCTCTCGCCTGCCAGGGTGATCTTACAAGCGGCATGTCTGCATGACACCCGGGTGCTCCGTGGCCATCTCCCCGGGGTGCTTTAGTATCGTGTGGTGGGGAGCAGTAGCAGGTTGGGGTCATGAGCTGTGCCCGTGGAGTTCAGACCTCCCTGGGCCAGGACTTTGCCCTGTGTCAGTACTCTGTGTCTGAGCTTGGCCTTTTGTTTGTGTGGCAGTGTTTAGAAAAGAACCCAGTATCCAAATACGAGGTAACTAGATAGGAATAGA